GAGCAGATTCCAAGCGGCCTTAACAATTAACTAATAGAAAAACCTCAGTAACCTTGCAGTAATTCGGCACATTTGCTTATGCTTCCTTACTTTCCTGGTTCGCCTGCCGAACAACCTCCTCGTGGTACCACCTGGGTGGTCCGGGATTATCTCGGTCCACCGATTGCTTCGGTGGCAAGGTTCCAGGACGTGGTGGGTTTTCGCTTGGCAAGCGTTTTCCTTATGAAAGGTCACATGGGTCCGTTTGACAACACTGCAACGTGGCGGATGTGACTCGCAACTGAATATAGTCACTGCCCCTTGTTTCACTTTGGTGAAGCATTGTATCCCAGCAACTTGCTGTCGAAATCGTGGGGAAGATTGGGCTCCTGTTTAGCTACTCACTAAACGAAAGGCGTATGAACTGGGCAATCAGTCATCAGCTCCCTATAGGTGCGAATCCGTGACTTCGCTCCCCGCTTTGCGAGTGGGCTATTGCGCCAAATGCTCGGGTTGGAGTCCCATACGACAACTCCCTACTTCGGCTTGGTCAACCGGGTAGTATCGTGCCCTCTGCTGCAATTACTACTACGTCGCTTACTTCTGCTGTTACTTTCGCTGCTACTCGTGCTTCTTCATCACACACCAACTTTTCTCTTGCTGATAATCTAAAACCTGTTGAATCTACTTTCAATGCCCGTCTCTCTGGTATCCAAATCATCCGGCCGTCATCTATCCTTCGACCCTGTAATTCATTCCGTCTGGCAGCTTTCAATGTTCGGACCCTCCTACAGATTGGACAACAGGCTGTCTTGGCGCACACTCTAGAGTACCTTGCCATCGATGTTTGATGCCTTTCAGAGACTCGACTACAAAATCCCAGCAAGGTGGTCAAGTTGTCGTCCCCAGCTGCTCTTGTTACCGTTTATTACCTATGTCTGTCTAGTGACTTGGAAGCAGCAGCAGCCGGCTTAGCTGGTGTCAGTATCGTATTGAGCGACAAAGCGTAGTCTGGATTACTCGAGTGGTTTGCAATCGACAGCCGGCTGTGTGTGGTTCGGCTTCAAAGCTCATGTAAAATCAACAGATATCGTGAAGAGAGGGGCAATTTGTCTGTCGTTTCTGCCTACGCTCCAAACGACTGCAGCTGTGCATCGGTTAGGGATGACTTTTATGGTGGACTCCACAACCTTTTGTACTTGAACGAAAAGTCAGATATCATCGTCCTTGTCGGAGATCTCAGTGCACAAAGAAGTCGCCTGCTTCCGTGCGAACGTCATCTTGGTGGTGTATGAAATCCGTTCTGACTACGGTGATAGACATCATACGTTATGCGATGACCACCGTCTGGTTCTCGCAAATACGAACTTTAGGCATACTAGAAGACGCGCAGCCACCTGGCGTCCTCTTTCACTAACGCAAGCATGGTCACAAATAGATAACATTGCAATCAGCTTTAGATGGCGAGGCAACATCCGGGGTTGCAGATCAATTTGATCTAGGTACCTCAATTCAAATCATACTTTGGTTTGCGCGGACATCTGCATGCGCTTCGGCAACTCCTCAAAACGAAAGCATACGCTCGACATCAACAAGTTAGCTGACCACCCTACTCGATCAACTTATCAATCTTCCTTATCACATGCATTCATTAGTGTTCCACCTTGAGACATCGAAAAGCATTGGAGTTTCCTGCGTAAAGCGATGCTAACTTCCAGTCCCATAATCTGCAGAATCACAAGGGGCTCTCTGAGGGGCTGGATTTCCGCATACTCACTGGAATTGTTTGATCGTCGTAGAGCTATCCCGGCCGCTTCAAATAGCTGTGCGTTGCGTCGCATTCTCAACCAAGGACTTAAGCAAAGCCTGCGTGCTGACCGCGAAACTTGGTGGCCCCAGCGCGCCTCAGAGTCGAAAACGGTTGTCCTTTGTGGAAACTTTTGCAAGCTCATCCAGGTCATTCGGGCCACTGGTCACAACAGACCTGGTGTCAGTGAGGTCGTTTGCGAGGTTGACGGAACGCCTATAAGCAACTTACACAGACACATAGACCGCTGGGCTGAGCACTTCCGCAATCAATTCAGCCCGCCTCTTCCGCCGACGAGCCTAACAAGTATGCCTAGTTGCGCGCTTTGGAAAGTCTCATTAGAATCACCTACTGAAGATGAGGCATGTCTTGAGCTCCGAAACAAAGCGATTCAAGTCTGCTGGCCCGGACGGACTTCCTCCAGAGCTGTTCCCGTTGTTAATTGCGCTCCTTTGAAAAACAGGCTCGTTTCCGCCCCGGTCTAGGGTGTACAGACCACTTAGTAATGCTCCGCCAACTCCTTGAAACGTGTCATCTTTACCGCTAGCCTAATATCGTTAATTTGATGGACTTCCGAGCCGCTTTCGACTCCGTCGATCGGCCAGCTTTATGGCGTTGCTTACAAAGGAATGGAGTACCCGAAAAGTATATCGCCTTTCTTCCAGCATTATAGTGCAAGGTCTCAGGCAACGCGAGGGCTTATGGTAAGCTCTCCTCACCCTTTGCCGTCACTAGCGGTGTACGACTGGGTTGCCCCATGTCTCCGTTTCTCTTCACTTTTGCGCTCGATGATGTCCTCTTAAACACTCTCGACCGATTTCAGGGTTCTGGTGTAGAGCATCTTCCTGGTAACAGTGTGACCGATTTAGAGTATGCTGATGATATTGCCTTACTTGGTGATGACGCACAGAGCACACAAGCCGTTTTAAACCGCTTGGCGATTGAATCGTCAAAATATCGAATGGCATTTGCCTCTACGAAATGCAAAGTCCTGGTCGTTGATTGGCATCCACCTGCCCCAGTGTTCACTCTTCAAGGTACGCAGCTTGAACAAGTAGAGAACTTTGTTTACCTTCGAAGCTGCGTCTCTGCTGATGGGAACATTGGAAAAGAGATTTTCTTCCGCATTGGTAAAGACCGCTGGGCATTCTCCAACTTGAGGCATCTGTGGCGACGCTGTGAGGTTTCACTATTGCTATAGAGCAGGGTGTACACTGCCTGTGTTCGCGTGGTGCTGCTGTATGGGAGTAAATCATGGCCTATTCTTGTGAACGTCTTGCGTCGGATTTCGTCCTTTGACACTAGATCTCTGCGGCGACTAGCTCGAGTGTGATGGATGAATCACATGTGCAACGATGATATTAAACATCGCGTCTTGGGTAACTCGGAATCTTTACTTGACAGACTGGTACCGCTGCACTAACTAAAATTGCTGGGCAACCATTAATACAGGCCATGCGAACGGCCCCCCCCCGACGCGCTCTCTTCGCTTGCACAGGACCAGGCTGGAAGAAATCGCGCGGTGGTCAGCCTATCACGTGGCGACAAAAGACTAAAGCGCTGACTTCCACCACCTGAAATAAATAGACTTAGCATGCAAGCACGCGGTTAGTAAATCGAACACAGCTTATCTACAAACGCTGCGCCGGTTCTGCCTACGTTCGCTGCAGGACCCGTTGCCGCTTCGGTAGTGGTCCTGACTGGCCTCGCTCATGGCTCACTAAGCCTGCCTGACTCAGACCCTCACGACCGCATGTGCTACTGCACCAAGTGCTTGATGTCGATGGAGTACAACCCATCGTTGCTTGCCACTTCCGCACTTGCCGCTTCTTCTCTGCATGTACGAGGTCATTCTCCCACACTATATATATATATATATATATATATATATATATATATATATATAAACTACTTGAATTCAACCTGGATAATCCAGCCAAATCCATATGCAAGCGTTGGTTGTTAGGAGTCATACTGGTAACATGAATGCGTTTATTCACCCAGTTTTATTTAAACATAAACCCATAAAGTGGAGGATGGTCAGTCTTGGCAACGGTTGACAATTAGAAACCTTTCACGTACAATGTGCAATCGAAAATTGCGGTTAACATAGGATTATTATAATGTTCAATTGGCTTACATGATATTTCAGCCTGATAGCATAACACACAGTGACACATGCGTAACTCCCCTTATGAAAATGCTTAAGAGTAAAATCTGGGAGCGGCTTGTGTGGGCAACTAGACCAGAAAACATGCACTGTTTCGTGATGTCCAAATACTTTGGTTTAGTCTGAGACGAATCTAACAAAGGTATGTAGACAAACGGTGCATTCCTCGACAGTGTGATGCACAGTTCAACTGAGTGATTAGAATACTTCATACCACCGCATAAAACTGATAACAATTTGAGTTATGCACGACAGTACGAAAACAAGTATTGAATTAATAAGTTAACTGTTCTATAACTACGGAGAGTTTCGCAGTGGTACTAATTGCACATATAACTAAGTGTACAGATGAAGTACAATGACCATTCGCAGAACGGTATTCTGGAAATCTGCTTCTTTGCAAGGTAGTCGCCTGAAAGTGTTTACCCGCACTTCAATATCTCAAGTAACCTTGTGCCCTTTTAGCTTAAAATCAACTAAGCCTTTACCCCTTTAATCCATCTTTAGTGCTGTTACTTTATTTATATCGTATGGACATTCAATCTATCCAGCGATGCCTAATGTCCTCATATCCGATTCCCCTAGTAAGCATTTGGATGGCACCGAAAATTTACCTCAGTGCTTATTGAAACCCTTGTATTTTGTGCGTGAGTTTTTTGAAACCATATATAACTCGACAGCCAACAATTTATAAAGTGAATAACATCGCGGGTTTGCTGCATGCCTTATGAACTCACTTGACACACTTTATGAGACCAATTGGATTATGACTGTGCACATGTCAGTTATTCGTGATGTATCCTATTTGGTTTTACCACCACTATGCTGCGCTGTTACATAGGGTAGGCCTTCTAGCAGACGAGTCAAGAGAGTCATACTCCACTGGCGACGTATGTTTTGAAACCTGACATTTCAAAGATCGCTGTCTCCCGGCTAGTGAAAGGGACTTGTTTTACAAATCACTGTCTTAGTTTACTGATGACATCAAACGCAGAAAAACACACAGAATGGCAATTGAATAGCTAGTGGACCGAAAATACAAAACTACGGTAGCTCTCTTATACTGTAATTTCGAAGCATCATTCCACTCACCTTTTCCTGGCTCATTTTTTCTGGCATAACAATAATGCACCGGTAACCTTTCGCAGCCGCGACCAAGGCCAAACCAATACCTAGGTTGGGCAAAACGTGAGACTGAGAAACTGTGGTTAGTTTACTGACCTGTGTTTCCGGAGGTTGGCTCAATCAGCGTATCGCCCGGTTTGAGCAAGCCTTGATTTTCCGCCTCCTCAATCATACGCTTTGCTATGCGGTCCTTTACGCTTCCAGCGATATTCTGGAATTCGCACTTTGCCACTAAAACGGTTAATTTTAGGCGATGTAAGTAACAGACTACCAATTTCACATTCAACTCCTTCACTTTGTGGAATCCGATTAAGTCGCACTAGTTTTGTGTTACCTATCAACTCAGTCGCGTTAGCTGCTATACGAGGTGGGGGTGCGCTATAGTTAGCAAGCAATCATTAGTTCCTCGCTGTGGTTCGCAAACTTACAAATCCTTGTGTACGTGAGGACTTTGATCCAGCGGTGTCCTCACTGTATAGGTGCATTTGCTTGGGAGATCAGGTCGAGTCCAGTCCATTGGGTTGATCAACTGAAAGATAATAGCGGGAGTTGAAACCGGCTGGTTTCGATTTTTGTAAAACGGAAATGTTAAGCGTTCTGATACACGTGTGGTATTGCGCATGGTAGTACTAACGGACTCTCGCACTTAGCCACCCTGATCTTACTGGGTTAACCAGACGAAGATGCGGCCCATAGCTTAGACCATGGGCCGGGGGCACCACACGACCTATGCCACGCTCATAAAGTGAGCAAAATTAAAGAGTAGTGAATTTCTGTATTACCTGCTCCAGACGCTTTAATCCAAGGCCTTTTCGTCCTTGTTTACACTCCAAGTAGAGTTAGCCGGAGCTGAGGTTGGAACACTCGATGGTCGACGGACAATGTTGTAAAACTCTGTATGGCTAGCTGCACGTTTAATAACACGCAGTTGAGTCCATAAGCTTCTGGAACGGTAGACTCTACTTTTTACTAAATCAAGTGGTAGACGTGCACAGGATTTAGGAAGACGATTTATTTAATATTAATTACATTCCCTTAGGTTAAAACTATTTTGCTGTCAGGTGCTCACCGATTTACGTTCCTTTGCGGTGGAGACACCACACATATGCAAGCAAAGTAATCCAGCGTTGTGGGTACCAAATCCCGAGTGCTCGTTCAGTCCTTGTTATTTATATTTGAGTATGTTATACACACTGCGAACAAACTAATTGGTTGGAACCAACGTTGATAACGAATCCGTCCCCAAAATGTGAACGAAAGCCGCTTCTGGATACGTATCTACCAGTGAGCCAAAGTGCGGTGAGGAAAGACAGGAGCGCGAAAGTTGTGTTACAATGCGGAAGATTACACTAAGTACCGCAAAAGGTTCTGGAACACACAAAAACGACGTACTGCATTATTCGAGAAGTGCCGTAGCCGGACAATGCACTACTCTATTTGAGCATATTGCTGCTGCGTAGCAACAACGAACGATGCACTCTCAAACACATGCAAACGTAGTAGGGTTCCCACTGATGTTGTCGGATCGTTGACCCGCTGCTCTTAATCTTGTGTGTTGTACTAATGTCCTGGACGCCTTCTAGTAGATACTGCTGGGTGCGAGTTGGGTCACAACAAGGGACAAGGACACACTATTCTGATTGAGTCGGTTCACTGACCCACGGCCCACAACCCGCGCCCATTTTCTGCATAAGACTTAAACGCTTGTTTTTCTATCTGTTGTAGAAAAATGCTGAAAATACACTCGCATGAGGTTTGGATTTTGGAAATTTGGAGTATGGCAGACAATATGAAGATTTCTCCAACTATCCATTTTTAAGGACGTTAGCAATAAATGACATCATGACGTCGGATTTTAAAAGTAAACATGAAACCGCATTTTCTAAATAGATACAAGATGGTTTGCGAATTTGCAGTGATAGTGCTTAATATTTCTTTCAACGTTATAATTAACAGGCAATTACTCAATATAAGTTTTATGTACCATACAAATACACGAAATATGGGTTGGTTAGTTCATGCGTGGTATGCTGCACAGCAGTGTCTCCGTGTAATGGCACATCACATACTGGACAGTGTAGATTAGCATTCTTCCCACAGTGCCCTCGTCTTCTTCGTTTTGGCATTTATTCCAACTGGTATCCAGAGCAATAATTCCTGATTCTGTCCTCAACCTTTTAGCGTTTTTGTGGGGTGCAAAAAGATTTTTTTGGACATTTGTCTCTGCCATAGGCACATGTGAATAGACTTTCACAACAGCTCGTTTGAAGGAAAGCATGTCATGCTGCTCTTGCATATTTGTAGGGGATTTTCTCTTTAAAAGCTAAACATTGTTCATTGCAACATCAGAGAGGAAAACGAATAGCGGCCACCACCACTTTTGCTGCGAAAACTGATTCCATATTGACCGACATTTCGGTCCAGTCGATCGACTCCTTCCATGGAAGTGTCGCACTTGGTAACGGTACTAGGTTGTTCAATAAGTACGTGCTTTTTGTCCTTCGCCGACCAAGTGCTTACTTTTATCAGAGGGTAGACACCGGCAGTTGTCAGAGTCACATCGGAATTATCATTTCAAGACAAAACAAACAAGTCATCCCGCCTGTCAAACCTGTGGTCATAAGTACTCTTGTTTAGTTTTCCCAAGGCCTTCATTTCAATGAGACACTTATCTGTCCCGTTTGCTTGAACTGTCCCCGTTGCTCTGATGCCTTTGTCGGTTAAGGCTTTCAATAGCAGCAAGCCAGTAAAGAAATTGTCATAGAGGATTTGGTAGGGCCATCCTCTTCAGGAACTTATCCACTAGGCTCATAAAGTGCCATATTCCAAGCCTAATGTCTTGTCATATTTGGTTTGAGCTCCTTAGTGGAGACCCAGATAAGCAGCATAGCCTAGAGGTGTTGGAATGATCCACTGTTTATACCTGTATCTAATGAGCTGAGGTAGCTGCCAAAAGAGGCAACCAGCATGTCGGCATGCTGCGAAGAGCATTCGGGAGATTTGACCCATCAATCTTCCCAATGATGCACAATTCCTACGTGCGCCCGCATGTTGAATACGCTATCCAAGCTTGGCAACCTTGGTTGAAACGTGACCTAGAAGCGATAGAGGCACCACAACGGAGAGCAACAAAGAATGTAAAGGGCCTGCGCTATCACTCTTACCACCGAAGGCTGAAGTTGCTGGGAATTTTCAGCGGGCGCTATCGAAGACTGCGCGGTGATCTCATATTAGCGTATCAAATATTGAGTGACCCCAACCACGTATGCCGCCATTTGCTGACACTTGACCACAAACGCAGCTCAGGGGCAACTGCTTAAAGTTGAAGGAACAATATAGCCGTCTAGAGTGTCGACGGAATTACTTTTCCCTTCGGGTTTGCAAACCTTGGAACGCACTCCCAGACTCATTTGTATCCTCTCCTACCTTGGATATCATCAAAAAACGATTAGATGTTGCTCTTAGCTCCCAACATTTTGTTACCTAAACTCCCTTACTGTGGATTAGGCCAAGGATGCATTTCGACAGGATTTATGTATCAAATGGACCTAAGTGAGCGACTATATTTTACTTTTCTCACTCTTTATCTCAATGATCACTGCACCCCAGTGTCTTTCTGAACGTTTACGCTCGATAGTTTATTTTAATTTTACACTGATGTTACTTATCAAAGTATTCATCTCGGCAGACGTTCGATAGATGACCCAGACATATTTTGATTTCATCATATTCACCTCAACCATCCTACGGGACGTGTCAAGCACTTGCTTTTATCCAGTGATAAATCATTGTTCATTGTTCAATCCCTTCAGTCCATGGCGGCCGTACTATGCAACCATGCTTTCATCCCCGCATAGATTTTCTTCCATGGGGAGGAATGTCATATATTTGTCATTGAGAAGGTCTTACAGTGCAAATTTGTCGTTGGCTTGGAGATTGTTATTGTTTGTCAGATGAAGATACTTCATGATCGTGTCAAATCTGTTCCGATTCAGTATATTACTGATTGCTGGATTGCAATCAACTTGTTCAGGATCCCAATACATGTGCCTTAATGGTTATGAATTATAGCTAACAACAAACAGAATGGCTAGAAAAGCACACATTCTAGCCTTGGCTACACTTAAAGAGTGGTCCCTTTTTGATCAGGCGTGCTCAGCTGTCTGCTTTATAACGTGGTCACTAACAGAATTATCAAAGAGGCGTTCAAATAACTTAAAAGGCTTAAAATCCTCCCTTAAGAAATCAGATGCACATTTAGGCTATTGTGTTATGATTGTGCATACAGTATTCAATGATTGATTATTGTTATTCTTTTTTACCAATTGACTCAGAATATATACCCGCGAAATTCGCATTCCAATTCGGGTGTTCTTACTACGAGTCGTGATTAGGTTGGTTGGAGCATACTGCTATTTCGATTCCAAACCTACTACACATTGTCTCTGAGTCTAGGGTCCCAGACATAAGACTTCTTTCCTCCATAGTCTAGATCTGCCATCCTTTTGAGTTTTTATTGAAGAAACAATCATAGGGGCAGCATCTTCCTTTTGTAAATTTTTATTGATACCGTGGTTTCTCCTCAGACGGTTCGCCATCCATGTTGACTGTAATTACTGATCCATGAGTCACTGCTAAGGTAGCCTCCACATCATTACATACCTGATTCGCTGACAGATCAACAAGAAAACTAGCATTGTGAATCAGGACAATTATGTCATCTTCATCAGTTTTGTTCATTACCCAGAGGCGTAATGTAAATGTTGGCTTCCAAAGAGGTGGCGGAGTTCATTGCTGCACCAATTTGTCAAGTATTTCGTAGCTCACTTGAAGCAGGTCGTCTCCCAACTAAATGGAAAACAAATGTCGTGAAACCCATGTACAAAGGTGGGAATCGCCAAGATCCAGTGAACTACCGACCGATTTTCCTGTCATCAATCCTCTGTAAAACCATGGAAAGGATTTTGAAACAGGCCTTGCATCTTCACCTTGAGAAATTGGACGTCATCTCTCCTGCTCAGCACGGATTTCGAAGGGCACGCTCTTGCATTACCAATCTGCTTGTTGCCTGAGAAAAATGGGTGCAGTCAGTGGATGCTGGTCATCGACTTGATGTAGTTTTTTGTGGATTTTAGCAAGGCGTTTGATAGGGTTCCACACAAGCGACTTCTTAGCAAACTTCGGCAGATTGGCATCGCTGGTAAGTTGCTCGCCTGGATCGCGGATTTCCTAGATAACCGTAGTATGAAGGTGAGAGTTAACGAAGTCGACTCTGTTCCTGTTCTTATGACCAGTGGGGTTCCACAAGGCTCCGTACTTTGTCCCGAACTATTCAAAATCTTCATCAACGATCTCCCGGAGGTGATCCAATTAGACTGCTTGCTCTATGCTGATGATCTTAAACTTTGGTCGGAAGTATCCAGGCTTGAAGATGCTGACAGGTTGCAGCTGACGCTCGATCTGCTGCACGATTGGTCGGTCAAGTGGCATTTGCTTATCAATCGTGATAAGTGCTGTGTTCTCCCGATCGGTGATCAGGAACCTTTCGGTGCTTACCACATCGGTGGTTTTCTGTTGAAGAATGTGGTTGGTGAGAAGGACTTGGGTGTACTTATTTCTCCAGACCTAAGAACAACGCAGGACACGTTGCGGAAGGTAGCATCTGCCACCAGGATGCTCTGTGCCATACGAAGATCGTTTTACAAATTGACTCCGCAGAACTTCAGGCTCCTGTTTTCCTCCCACGTTCGTCCAATACTGGAATACGGCCTACCTGCCATACACCCACTCACGAAATTTGAATGTGAATTGATTGAGAAGGTCCAGGGGCGCGGATCCAAGTCTGTGTCTATGCTACGTGTTTCAATTTATCCCTTTCGTCTCCAAGGTATGAACTTGTTTACTCTGGACTACCGCCGTCACCGTGGTGATTTGATTTATACTAGACGCATTTTAAGGGGCGATTTGGGGAAGGAGTAGCTGCAGTTTTTCCAGCTCAACACAGATTGTTCAAGACGGGGCCACAGCTTGAAACTTTTCAAACCTCGGCGGAACCATATCCGGTCCGATATCACGTTATCCACACGGGTTGTGTATGTGGAACGACCTGCCTCAGCATATAGTAGAAGCGAACACCGTGTCTAAATTCAAGATGCTACTAGACCAACAATTTGCAGAGGCAAAGTACAAAGAGCGAAACGATAAATAAAAAGTTCATGTCCGAAAACGATGAATGATGCAGATACACAGAGAAACCTCTACTCGCTGCTTCGCACCAGTTCTCAGTTCTCAGTTCTCAGTATATTTGTCATCACTTGGGAAGCTGTGTCCATATTTGCCACGAATCATATATGCACAGGTAATATCATGCCCTTGCATGGTCTAGCCCAC